AATCAGCTCTTTGGTTTTGCTGAAACATAGGTTGTTGGTTCGGTACCAGTCTGCGAGTTGTTTTATCTCCTCCCTGTAGGCAGTCTCATCGTTGTCAGTGATCAGGCCCACGACTGTGGTATCGTCAGTATACTTGATGATGGTTTTTGTGCTGAACTTGGCGGTACAGTCATGGGTGAACAGGGAGTAAAGCAGTGGGCTGAGCACACAGCCTTGAGGGGCACCGGTGTTAAGGGTGAGTGTGTTGGAGGTGAGGTTGCCAATCCTGACAGTCTGGGGTCTGCTGGTGAGGAAGTCTAGGATCCTAGACTTCCTAGTCTTGGGCATCGCGAATCAAGGACCCAGACAAACAAAACTAAAAGCTGAAGTTATTTCTTTTAAAAAAGAAAGTTGCTTTTTTATCCAGTTTTTATATAATCTCAGGTGGTTCATTAACGAATTGTTTCAACGAAGTAATTTAGACACTGCTTGAAAAAAGGAAAGGCTACACGTGACCTTCAGACACTGGATTTCCTCCAAAAAGGATTTAAGGCGGCAGTGAGCCCGTAGAGAGCCGGTAAGCTCGCCTGTTTATGTTAAAACTTTTCCTCTAAAATCGTCTTGGGGGATAGGTGCTGTACATCTGCACAGCTGTACCGTTTTTTTTAGTTAGCTGCAAACATTGCGGTGAGCAGTGAATTTTGGTTTTTATTTTTGTGAATTATAGAGGTTGTAGAGAAGTGAAACATACGCCCAGATGACACTTGGGCGAGAGTCACTTCCTGAGAAGTAACCCCCCCCAGCCCCTTCACCGAGGCGCCCCGGGACCGAGCCTCAGAGCCAGCGGAGCTGCCGGTGCGTCGCGATGCTGAGGGCGGCCGGACTCGTGGCGCTGTGCAGCCTCCTGCTCCAGCCGAAGCGTGAGTAATGACCTCCATGTGCGCAGAGCCGGGCTCACACCTCATGCCAGCCACGATACTACACATGTACAGTACAGTGCCCTGCAGCTACAACCTCAGACGTTTGCCATTCTTATTTAGTGGTGTTAATGGAGATGTGAGAAGAGCTGACTCTGTGCGCTTTTATGGGGAAAGTTTTCAGGTCGCCCTGGAGTTGGGGGGGATTCCTGTATCCTGAAATCCCACGGGATGGAGGCGCCTACAGCCCATTCGGAGCTGCGGCGGCTCCGCGGACCGCAAGGTGTTCAACCAACAGAGGACGAGCGCGTCTCTCGGTCATTTTGAGCTCCATCCCCAGTTTGTTGGGAAATGTTTTCTTTGACCAGTTAAGGCAATCTATCGTTAAGTGAGAATACAATTGTAAAAAAAAAAAAAAGACACACAAGAAAATCCAGAAAAAACTTAAGCGAGACAGTGCGTTTTTAAATGGGATCCGACGGGTCACATCGTCACCGCTGCGCGGTTTCTCCCGCTGCCGTCGCATCTCGACGGGTTGGGCTCGTAAGACAGGTCGTCACAGAGCCCACGGGCTGCTGCAGTGGTGACGTTTTAAAAAAATCCCGTAAATAACGGAATCAGTCAAATTTGTGCCGAAACGAGGTCATTTTATTTTTCGTTTAAAACAGCTGACGGGAGAGCCGCATTTTGACAGTATGTCTGTTTTAGGAAAACATTTATAAAAACACAGTGACCTACATTAAAAAAAAAATCCTGAATCCCCACGGCGAGGTAAGCACCCAACTATATTGAAAACAGGGTTGTGTTATTAATTTAACACGCATTTCTCCCGTTTGTGTTTTATGCGTGTGTGTGTTTTTGTTCGATTTTACGCGATTAGAAACATGTTAATAATATTTTTAAAATACCCCCCCCACAGCAACCTATTTATTTCGTTTTCTGCAGTTTAGTATTTAATCCTGTTCTACTTGTTCATGCTTTAAAAAATGTTATGGGTAGCAAACTGTTATTTTAGTACGAATCGATGTATAAAATTTAACATTTATTTTCTCATTTAAAGCGACTTGTACGCAAGAACCCATAACTGGAACAGAGGGGGGTTCGGTGAAGATCAACTGCAAACTGAGCCATAGCGGCTCGGAGTCCACAGTGTACTGGTTCCGAGTCAAAGACAAGACCACCGACACCTTGGTTGCCGTGAACAGTCTGGGGAAACAAAAGCCTGAAGGTACCAACAGCAAGTTCACACCCGACAAACGTTCGGGGACGTACACGCTGGAAATCAAGCAGTTCAGCTCGGCAGAAGACACCGGATTGTACAGCTGCGCCGCGCTCGTCAATTCTAGACTGAGTTTAGGGGCTCTGACGAAAGTTTCAGCAAAAGGTAAGCGCTCGCTACAAATTCTTGTGCTTTGTGTTCATTGAATCGTGTGCAGTATAATGCTTTAATTAGCTCGAATCGAAAGACAAAGCTGCTTTTTCTTAACAACGGGATTTGTTCCTGCCAACTATTTTCTAATGTTACCCCTTCAGACAGCTGTGAGAGACTGTAACGCGCTACGGCTGTAGATAAAGAGCAAAA